AGATGTTCAAAATTGCAGAGAGGAAGAATCGTAACTATATCCTTGACCAGACCAATGTGTACTTCAGTGCTCGAAGGAGAAAGATGAGCAACTTCCGTGGCTACCGACGGATTGCTGCAGTGGTTGTGACCACGGATGAGGTGTTGAAAGAGCGCACTGCAAAGAGGGAAAAAGAAGAGGGGAAGATTGTGCCAGAGTCTGCAGTGCTTGAGATGAAAGCGAATTTTGTTTTGCCGGAAGTCGGCGAGATTTTTGATGATGTGTGGTTCATTGAAGAAGACAAAGCCACTTCTGAGCGCCTTGTGGCCGAGTTTCAACGGGCAGGAAAAGAGTATAAGGAAAACGAGAAGAAACGAAAACCGTCTGAGGAATCAGGATCAAGTGGGAGCCATTCTTTCGTCGATAAGAGACCCCGAATTGACCATCCAGGAGGCCCTTCCATGTCTTTGCAGGGTGGCCCTCGAGGTCAGCATCCCGGCCACAGTGACCATCATGGCGGATTCCAAGGGAACTATCCTGCAAGAGGGACTCGTGGCGCATCAAATAATGTACCCTTTCGAGGACCTCCGCTGGGAGCCCACGGGGCCCCAGTTAGGTCATTTAATGATTATGGACAATCTCAGGGACAGAGACAACAAGGTGAGCCCTATGGGACATACGATACAGGGCCACAGAGAGGGCACAATGATTATGGACCTTCTCAAGGATACGGAAGACCAGACAAGGCATATGGGACTTATGATTCAGGGCCTCCAATGAGGTACAATGATCTTCGACCTCATCAGGGACATGAAAGAGGAAGCGAGCCATATGGGGCGTATGGTTCAGGGCCTCCAAAGAGGTACGATGACTATGGACCTTCTTACAGACACCAAGAGAGCCACGGCCGCAATAACGGGCATTCCTTTGACTCTTCCCATCACCAACCACCAGGTAGCGGGGAAGGTAGATACAGTCAAGCTGCGCCCGCCTATGGTCAGCAGTATGGGCAATCCTACGACAGCCAAAGTACCTCACGCTCGTACCCACGAGAACACGATTATTACCCAGGGGGAGTACAGAGGGAGCAAGCACCACAGGGTGGGAGAAGTGAGCAGTATAGGTATTAGACGTGATATTATTTGTAATCACCGTGCAAAGAGGGCTTTTCGTCGTGGAAAGAGGCCGTACCAGGAGATTCTATTAACTTTGAATGACTCACCCAACGACCACAAAAATATTCATAATTTTTACGACGTTACTTAGTTGCTAAAGGAGTAGACATATACTTTCTTAATTGACGAGGGATCGTTTCTTAGTGTAAGAAGATTTTACCAGTAGATGGCTCAATGTTGCCAATCACGTTTGGTTAATATGAGATCTATGCTCTAATTGTTGCACATGTACCGCTAGATCTGTGATACCTTTTAAATTATTCCTCGGTAGTTAATTATTTGTTATTGTTAGAAATCGTTTTTTAACCAGCTTACTTTTATTGTCATTGTTCTACTTTTAACGTTAAATTAGTGTTAGTACATGCATCGTGAATGCTGTAAACTGCCGCTTACAAGCCCTGGGCTTATACAACTTCGTAAAGGCTTTTAGATTGGCTTATAAACGGAGGGGCTTATATCCAAGGGGGCTGATAACCGGAATAAAAAAAAAAAAAACAGTTTCGAAACGAGTCTCCTTCGATCGAAGGAGACTCTGCTCGCAGGGTACTGGTAATTAAAATGAATTCAAAACAAGGAAAGCTAGAGGGGGGCTTATATCCGGGGGAGGGGCTTATAGCCGGATGTAAATTTTGGTTTACAGGTAGACGGGCCTGTGAGGGGAGGGGGAAGCTTACAAGAGGAGGGCTTACAAGCGGCATTTTGCGGTATACTCTAATTTTCTGTAGTGTCGACAATAAGCTGCACAAGCTAAAAATTTTGTTTCTTCATTCATCCATACCTTACCTCTATTTAGGCGCGGTTTTGTTATCCCATGGTACTTTGCTCTCGTCCTAGTTCCAGTCCCACCCTGCGAAACTTGACCAGAAAACCGTACAAGTGCTTATTCGTGACGGACCTCGTCCGGTTTCTCATTCAGTTAAAGCCAAAACCCATTGCAGGCTCAGACGGGTTAGGGTTAGGGGTAGCGTGTCCCGCGAATAACCAGTCCCGTCCCGTTATTACGCTGGGACAGGAAACCCGTCTCGAACGGGTCTACCGCCTCTAGTGTGAACCCACCCATTGTAAGTTAGAACAGTTGTTTCATGAGTCATTCAACATTTAGTTTCAGGTTGTCTACCATCAACAAAACAATTCCGGAAATTTCGGTTGAGAAATTCCGTACAGGAAGATCGTGTTCCATTCGGACTTCCCCTAAGAACTCGCCATTTTGGTTGAGGCGTAAGGCCGTAAAAGTCGAACGGCTCGAAACTGGTGCAAACGATACAAAACGGGCAACACGAGTTCCTAATCGGAACGGCCCAACGTGAACGTGACTACTACGGCCCGACGTTGCTACAGAACCATAGTTAATAGCGGGGAATGGTTATGAAGCCCGGCAAACATCAAAAGAGCAAACCTAAACGTTTCGATTGGTTAGTTTCTCAGTCAGTAGTAGACAACCATTGTGTTTTGTTCACGGTCAAGGCCAAAAAAGAGAACGAAAACATACAACAAACAACTTTGTCGAGTTTCATAACCATTTCCCTCTGTTGATATGACAGAGCGTTTTCTCGGAATTTTTGTACTGGACAAAAGCAATAAGTTGTGCTACTTTCCATTAACATCCCATGCGGAATTTCCGGGTTTTTTTCTCTTTTTCTGTAAATGGAGCAACTCCGTTCAAATCGCATGTAGTGTTTCGCGTTTCACATATTTGTCGAAGAGACGCCAATCGTTTAATTTACTATAGAAGTTATATTAATAAACGGTTGTAAGAGGCCAAAGTTCAGCGATGGTTCAATCTTTGCGATGATGAGAAAGAAGTGGATTTCGTTTACCTTGGGAGCAGGCAAACGCGAGGGAACAAGTCGGCGCTCACCGACACGTGTTTGCGCTTCATCGCTCGCGCGCGGTACCCCACACGAGCCTGCTCACAGACCAGCGTCGTTCCTGGGTCTCACTTCTCACTCCCGCTCCAGGGGCCCGTTTCTCGAAAGCCCCGGAAACTTTTCGGGCCCACAAAGTCATCTTTAGATAATCTGTATCTAACAACAGAGAGGTGTATACACGTGAAACTCCTTGTGTGAAGAGAACCTCTGTTCATATTAAGAATACGGTGAATAAAACAGCTCTGTAATCATAAGGTTGGAGATTTTGCTACGGCTTTCCAGGTGCGAAAACTTTTCGGGACCTTCGAGAAACGGGCCCCGGGGGCAGGAAAAGAAGAGAAATCCTGGGAACAAGCTTGCGTATACCCCATTTCAGATCAAAATATTCTGCTCAGCTAGCGGAGTCACTTCGATCTTTTGTAGTTGAGTTATCTAAGAAAGATCGAAGCGGCTATCATGGTACGACAAAAACGGCTGAAAAACCTTACTTTGAGTGCCGCACATACCCTATTTATCTTCCGTAAGAACTAACCAAGAAGTTGAGGCACTAACATTTTTAGTCTATTTCAAGTAATGTAATGAACACCCTTGAACAAGCAGAAGAACACATCTTTGACCATGGATGTATATTTTAGCTAGTAATAGGCATTATTTTGTATGGCCATGCGACACTTCGTGGAGAAACAGCTGTGAGAAGAGACACTAGTTTAGCGAACCAAATAAGTGGTGCAAATTATTCCCGAGACCTCTCGGCACAGGGGAGACCCACCGCCATTTTTGGTGAAGTGGAACCCAGGTCTCGACCGTCACATTTGTGGACGGTTACAAAGCTCGGTCGAAACATTTTTCTGCTGGCAGTTCTGTTCTTGAATCTGCTTTTTCATTATTTTTTCATTTTGCAGTATCTAAACGATATGCCAGTCCCGTTTCCAGAGCGGCCCCTTCGGAACGAGATTGGCTGAGAGAGGATAAAGGAAAATTCAGGGTTCCCACAGGTCAGGAAATGGTCAGGAAAAAAAAAAATTCAAAGTCAGGGAATTTTATTTTGAGTCAGGGAAAATTGATATTTTGGAAGAAAAGTCGGGGAAATTAAAGTAATTTAGCACGGCTGTGAAGGATGGAAGAAACATTTGGGATCACTGTGATCTCAATGATGTTCTTCCTTAATGACGAAGGAACTTTTGTTGAAAACGTGTCAGTCTTAATGTAACGGTTTTCAAAATCGTTTTAACAAGAACTTTTCAGGTGGAAAGGACGGTTGTAAGTTGAACGGCTAGAAGCTGCTAATAGCTGTGACATTTTGTATTAACTATTTGGTCAAGAAAGTTTTATTTTCATAAGTTAGGGAAAAGTAAAGGAATTCTGAAAAGTGACCAAGCAACAGTTAAGAGCAAATGTACACAAAAGTCAAAAATAGTTCGGCCGGTAAGGCTTGAAAAATCGAATTTGCCCAACTGTCGCATATAAGTAGGCCTTAGTAAAAGTAAAAACGCTATGTACTGAGATTTTTTCTTCAAATATCTTGGTATTTCCGAGAAAAAGGACATTATCGATTTCACGTCCAGACATCAATCTAACGAGTGCTAACTGGGCTGAAAATCCACCATTTTCTTTCGATTCGCATTTCGCAACTATTGAGCGCAAAAAAACTTAATGCAGAACTGTTCCTTGTCCAAAAGAGCCAAGTCTCAAGAATATTGGATTAATTCAACTATTTGGCGGTAAACAAAACCAAAGTGTTCTCCAACGATGACTTCGTCAGTCGGTGAGAAAAACTGTCATTTTGACCATGTGCCATGTCTCGGAATTCCAAAAGATTTTAGATTCTAACTATAATAGGATAGGTCTTTCAATATATGTCAAGTTTAGTTTGGGCAAATGATTAGGCACTCGTCAAAAAATTATTCAAATCACACACAAAAAATTAAAATAACGCCAGCAGTCGAATACGTGACCAAAAGTGCTACCATTGTTTTTGTCATTAAATCACTTCAATTCGAAATATCACCGGAATATCAGCACAACTTAAGCATAAAACAATATAAATATGTTTACCTTAGCTACGTTATCATGTCTTGACCGTATCAAACAACATTCCCATCCTGCCATTTCAACGGTGTTTCATTAGCTTTGTAGAACCTGTACGCATTCGTCTGGTGAATCTGAATCCCCCAAATCGCTCAATATTACCAAGTTCCGTTTTGTTGTTCGTTACAATCATTCAACCTGCTTTCAGGTAGAAATCCCCAGTAATTAGCAATAACAAATAAGCCGCCATCTTCGATCGCTCCGCGTCTTCTTATTTGCAATTTTCCAGCAAAAGTGTTTGCACACAAGGTAGGGGTAAAGCGGGGATTATTTCCGAAAGAAGAAGCGTTAGAATTTTCCAATATCTCGATGTTAGTTCTAATTCAGGGCCTCCTTTCTTAGGTAAAGCGACAAAATGCTACACACTAACAAGGTCTTTGTGGCTTAAAATTCAAACAAAGAAAAGTAACTCTGTTTAAAGCTCTGAAATCCCGACCGTCACCCCCATGTAAAATACGTTGCAACGCACCGGTCTCGGATAAACATTTTCAGTCAAAATGGATGCCTTTCAAACGTCTTCAAAATGGAAACCCGAAAGTCACACGTGGAATAACGCTTTACCAGTTACTGCTGGCTTAATCAAACGACGCAAATAACACAGATACAATGATACAAGGATGGGACTTGAGACAGTAATTGTTTTCCTTCCAAGTCGGATATCAGTACACTGACAAGAAATGCAGGGAAAGAATCAGCTTGCAAGATCCAGGATACTACAAACCGAAGTAAGTGAACATGCTATTTTTATGTGTATGTAATTTATACTGCTTGGTAATGCTGACGTTTCGAACTGATATGCTGATGATACTTTTGGTCACGCACTCTGTAGCTGCTGGCGTGATTTTGTGTCTTTTGTGAAGGATTTTGAATATTTTTTGCACGAGTATCTAATCATTTGCCCAAACTAAACTTTACATGTATTGAAACACCTGTCCCAGTATAGTTAGAATCTAAAATCTTGTGGAATTCCGAGACATGGCACATGGTCAAAATGACAATTCTTCAGTTTCACCGACTGACTAACTCAATTTTGGAGAAAACTCCACAGGCTGCCCAAGCTCTCAATGTTATCCTTTTTTTTTTTTTTTTCACTTTTATGCGAACGTTCACCGTAACGTGACATATGGTATATACCATTACATAATGACCGAATTTGACCATCCGAAACGTGACTCTGGCCTTAAAGCATACGGAGGTGTTATGTTACTACGGTTTGAATTTATGAAGGCTGGTATGGGAATGCAACGGTTTTGCTTGAAAAGTCAATGATTCTCATATTTTGTGAATAGAATCTTCTTACCCTGTTGCTGTGTTGTATTCTTTGTTGTTTGCCAGCTCCTCACGCCGATCTAACGCGATTTCGGCGAGTTATCGTTCCTTAAGTGGAAACCCACAGAACGATAACTCGCCGAAATCGCGTTAGATCGGCGTAAGGAGCTGGCAAACAACAAAGAATACAACACAGCAACAGGGTAAGTAGATT